GGCTTCTAACTTGAAGGCAACATGCAAAAGCACATAAAAGTCTGTATTTTTATGCTATGTTCAAATTTTTAATAGTTCAATATTTCAAATGAGAAAACCTTCCTGAGGCTTTGGGAGTTTACATTACTTTATAACATTGAATGTTCTCCACTTTGACAGAAAAGTTGCATTAAATCCTCCATCTAATGAAATCAATGTTGTATAAATAATATATTATTCCACCAAAGAGCAAATAGGAATCAGATGCAAGCATCCCCATTATTTGTTGGATTTGCCTTTTTTCTGCCCATAATTTGAGTTTGAAGATGGAATTCATGCTCATCCCACATTTCATTAGGTGCTTAAATCTGAAACCATTTGTCTAAAGGCAATCAAAAGTATGACCAGATTTGCTGTATTTTATTTTTAAGCAGGGCAGGATTTTTTCCCTTTGCTATAAAGCAGTCAGAGAGAAAACCCTGGAATTTGGTAAGGTCATAAAATAAATGAGATAAAGCAAAATATTAACAAAGTTGTCAGAATGTTCCTTTAAAAACATCCCCACACACTTCCAGTTTTCCTCAAGACATCTTAACAAGGATGTAATTTCCCATTTGCTCTCAGTGAGCAAATCAAACAGGGTGATTTATTATTCAGATGGGCACAAAGGATTTCTGAAATGCAAAAAGAAGGGCTCTAAAAGCACAAGTCATCAGTAATGACGACAGCCTGAACTGCCTTTCAAATATGAACAAAATGCAGCCATTTAGGGGCTCATACATCACGCTCTCCCAGACCCTCATTTATTTCCCAACTGTACAGGCTGCATGAAAATGGAACCAGAATCTGGCATCTACTGAGAACATCTTTATCAGGGAAGTGATTGCACACCATGGGAGAGCAGATCAAAATCCCCACCCTTGGAAGAACAACCAAGGCTTTCCAATCACCACTTTAGTTCCCTTCCCAAAAACATCTGTGTGGTGAAGAGAAACTCTTCTGAACTATAAACACAGTGAAAATATGACAAAAACTCCCACTCCTATCCCAAGAAAATTCAGATTTTCTTGATAAACATCTCCAGCAATTTGGGCTCCTGATGAGACAGCATTCAACTGGAACCCAAAATCTCAGCTTTAGCTGGTGAGATCTGCTGTTCTATTTTTCTTCCAATGATCTGTACAATGGGAAATTGAGAGAGAGAGCTAAATCCTGCTCGTTCTTATCCCAACGAAGCACAGAAATAACCATCAGAGCTAACGAGGTTACTCAGCATTTTTCTTCTCCGAGCAGAAAACCCACAAAGAGCAGTTCCCTCAATCAGCTGTTTAATATTTCAGCTGTGCACAGGTATTATGGGTATTAGACACATATTCTTAAATCCACTTTATCTTCAAAATGTTCCTTTAAGTAAAGAGATGTGGAATTAGCACTTTATGCATAAAGAACTGACATCAGCATAGGCTCAAATGAAATTTCCAAGCTCATGTAAAAGACTTATTATGGAGCAAGACACTACAGCAAATCTCCTAAATTTCTGCCAAACGTGACTCCAAGAGACCTTTTTCCTCTGCATCACAGCCAAGCAGAAAATATCCTCCCCCAAAGCAAGGAGCACCTCCAAGGAGGGGACTGCATGAGGACCTGTTTGAAATTCCAGCCAAGTTTGCCTTCACCTCGGCTGGAGCAGAGGAGCATATTTAACATGCTTCCAGTTCTGTTCCAATGGCAGGTTGGAGGAAATAAATTAATTACCAATTTAGCCCAGAATGCCAGGCAGTTATCATCTAAAGGCATGGAAATAACCACCTTATTAATGGGAATTAAGGTTCAGCAATGTAGCAATACTTGGTTTTAGCAAAGACTGAATGGCAGCATTGGTCCCAAGTGACGACAGAGAGAAAAGGCACAACTTTGTCCACAGCTCTGCTTCAATTCAAGTGAACTTCACCCTTTTTTCATCTCCAACACATGTGGGAAGTTCTGCCATAAATCAGCCTTGTCCTATGGAATTCATATCCCTGGGAACCCAGCTCAGGCATGTCATGTTGGGACTTAAATTATGCTTCCTAATATAATTTACTTAACATAGATCTGCAAATCCCCCTGGTGCTGGTTTATCATCCTCCTTCCCCACACTGGTGGTCACCAAACACCTGCCAGGTCACCCAGGCTCTGGCTGCCACACGCTTTTCCCTGAGCTGCATCTGAGCTTTCCTCCACAAGAACTTCACAGACTGTTCCAGGAAATTACATTTTAGTGTTCCACTGTCGGACCTGCATGTTCTAGAGGAGCATAATCCTACAAAGCAGCTGCTCTGCAAAACAATCCCCCTAGACAGCATTTCCTGGGGCAGTCCTTGAGCCAAAGCCTGAGTGTGGGGAGGACATGCCAGGCTGACCCTCCCACAGTCACCCAGATGTGTCCTCAGAATCTGAATGTAAGGAAAAAAGTCAGGTAAAACCTGAAGTCTGTAACAGCAGGCTGTGTGTGATGAAAATTTCTGAATACACACACAGGTGCCTCAGTGAATTTATGATGCAATTAGCAGTGAGGGAGAAAGGCCCCTCACTGTACATCTCCACAGAAAATGCCACCAAAACTCCATCTCACTGCTCTGCAGCTCCTGCTTTTCTCACTGCCCCAGAATTCCAAGGCAGGACTTCCACCTGCACAGGTCACTGCAGCCCCAAGCAGTGCTCACTCCTCCCTGACAGACACAGGGAGAAAAGGCCAGTCTGGGAAGGTAGGACACTCCATGAGAGAGAAATACATTTATAACCTAAAACAACTACAATTAATTGTCTCATTTCTCTTTGCACCCTCTCAGGTTAAAGACCAACCCCTCTCTCCCCTCTCAAGCATCTCTTCAATGCCAGATTTCATTATGCAACAGTCATGCTCAGAATTTTTAAAGGCTAAAATATTGACAAATGGGGTGATGAAGCATTTCCAATTTCCCAGTGTATTTACTTCTTTGTGCTGTTACAGTAACATGAAGCATGATAATCACAAAACACTTCATTTTTCACAAACCCTCATTTAAAAAATCCCTGTATACACCAATGGTGTCAGCAGTTACACATGAATCTGGTCCACATCAGAAAGTACTTTTAAATTCCCTAAAAATCTCCACAAGATGCTGTACAGTTTATAAGTGGGGCATATGCATAATGCTGTGCAAGACTAATCAGCCTTGAGACAACAGCTTCTAAATATCATTATGGAGAAGACAAGAATGATGTTTAACTGCTGCTTCTGTCAGACAGATTCTCCTTTCAAGTCACTCAGGATATCAAGTTATAGTATTTCCTTCCAGTAATCATGGGCTGGATAAACTCACATTTTCAGCTTGTGAAAAAGCAAGAGCATCTCCTACCACTGATCTGCTGGCTCTGAGGAAGTAGCCTGTGTTATTTCAGACGTGCTCACCCTACCATGTAATTTTACCCACGTCTGTATCCAGGCTGCAGCCAAAAACCACATTTATTTTCGTAGAGAGAAATCCACAAAGGACCTGGAATACAGCAAGTCAGCACTGCTGGAAAGAAAAATAGAAAGAAAAAAAGCCAACAGCATGGTGGTTGCTGTTGCATCAATAAGCAGGTCGATATTGAAGTTCTTTGGGAAAAAAAATCTGATAGAATAACATGAGAAATGCAGAATGTGATCAAAGCTGTGTCACAGCCCCTAGCCCAGGGCAGAGCAGCAGGTGATGAGAAGGGCACTCTCGTTCAGGGATGGGCAGCAGGGATAAGGAGCAGAGGGAAGAGGGCAGCGGCAGTACCTGCACAGGTAGCAGGCAGGCAGAGCAGCGGAGCTGCCCTCTGCCGACAGCCTGCTTTGCTGAACACTGCTCTCATCCGCTCCTGCACAGCCACACCGCGGCTTAACCGGCCGGGCTCTGCGTGCTCCCTCCCCACGGAGCCCCGGGTGACACGGAGCCCCGGTGACACGGAGCTCCCCGGGTGACACGGAGCCCCGGGTGACACGGAGCCCTCCGGAGCCCCGCGGCTCTCCTGCCCAGCCCAGCCCCAGCCCAGCCCCAGCCCGGGCCGGCAGCCCCGCGGTGCCCCGGCCGCTGCGGCAGCACCGTGCTGCAAGGGGCTGCTCCAGCTCATTGACTCCAAAATACACCCAGGACTGGAGCCAGCGCTCCTGCTGCATCGTGTCCGTGGCTGCCCGGGCTCACCCGGCGCCCAGCTCGGCTGGCCCTGCCTGCTGTGCCGTGGGGGTCGTGCTTTGATCACACTTTGGGCTGGTCCAGCCGCGCTCATCTGCCGTGTCAAATCAGGGGTCGCTTCAGAAACCCCCAAAATCAATAACCCTCATTGACATCCATGGTGAAGGCAGTGCTGTCACAGTGGAACCTGCTGGCACCTGGGCTAGGGGACTTTCCTGCTGGAAAGTATTTATTGAACAGCAAAACTCCTGGGAACCTGCGAATGAAGCACGGACCCGACGCTTCCCAGCTCGGACCAATTCTCGTGCCTCTCATGTAATTTTCTGTCTAGGACACAGGTAAAATACACACGACCTATTTAACTTCCAACTTTTTTCTTTTTTTTTAAGTGAAAAGCATCACTGCTAAACCCTCTGGAAAATGAGAGAAAAGGAGGAAAGATGTGATTCAAGTTTTACGCAGATTATCACGTTTATCAATCTCTGCCAAATTGCTTCGCTCCGAACTCGCGTCCATTTTACACAAGGTTTAAAAGCAAATGGGAGCAGCTACTCCTTTAGCACCTTACACACTCTCCCTCCCAATAAAAGGCAGCCGTGTAGCTTTAACCCAGCGCTTCGCTGAAATTCCCAATGGATCAGCATCACCCACTCTGCGGCTGCTCCATCGCTCCCGTAGCGCCGCTGGAAACCGGGCTGCGCGGAGACGGCGTGCACGGCTCTGTTACTAATGAACCCCCGCGCAGGGGAAACCAGAGCAATAAGGAGAGCTCCTCAGCCCGCCTGCGAGCGGCACCTCCGCACTTCTGCCCTCCCTGTGCGCGGCCGCCGACCGGCCGAGGGGCCCCCCCGACAGCGAGCCCCCGCCGCAGCCCATGAGGGCAGCGGGGGAGCGCGGCGGCGGCGGCGGCTGCGGCTCCTCCGGCGGCTCGGCGGCTCCGCGGCAGATGCGCCCCGGCGCCCAGGCTCTGACGCCCAGCTCGCCCCGGCGGCTGGAGGGAGATGCTCGCCCAGACCGCCGCTTCTGCGTGAGGAAGCACAAGGTAAGGCGCTGACCGACCCCAAAAAATTCCCCGTCCGCTGGTTCTGCCGGTGGAAAACTTCGTAGGGATGAGGAGAACGGCTGGCGCTGAGCGCCAGCGTTATGCAATAGCGTATCTGCCTGCCTGCGAACAGCTCCTGCATCCAATAACTTTCGTGACAGATAAGGAGAGAATATCCCGATACGCGACTTTCTTCTAGAAAAATACCAGCGTTTCTTTGCCTGCTCCCCTTCCAGCGGTGCCTGGGAGGGGAGAGGGGTAGCTGGAGGATTTTTGGAGGATGCACGAAGTGCTTTGGCTTTTCACATGGCTGATGGCGAGGAACTACCGCTGCTTATTAACTTCAGCCGTCCTAATGAAGTGTCCGTACAGCGGCGATGGAGGAACACGGGATGTGTTCATCCCTGAACTTGCAGTACGGCACTTCATTAAAAGCCCAACCAACCCAAAAATCCTCCTCGGGGACTGAAGCTGCCGCTATTCAGTGAAGTGTGCTGGGTTCTCCCGATTTAACACACCCGCGTCCCCATCACCATCACCGACCGCACAGAAATCGGGGATGCCGTGGAAACGCCGTAGGAAAACGGGACAAAAGGGAGCAGGGAACCATCCCCAAAGTCACAGTCCTTGCATCCTTCAAGGCATCCCGAGCTTCCCGCTCTGCAATTCCGTCGTGCCTCCCTCGCTAGTAAAAACCCTGTGCCGTGACCTCCGCGCCTGTTAATGCCGTGTTTACGGGGAGTCACGGCAGCGAGGGGATGCAGGACTGCAGTTCCATGGGATCTGCCCGGGGAGGCGGGGGGGCTCCGGCAAAACAGGGCCAGCTTGCACTGCTGGGAGCGGGGAATATATTCCCTGCTTATGTCACCGTCTCCCGAGGGCTCTGTCCCAAGGGAGCTGTGCCCCCCTCTCAGCCGAGAGTCGGAATAGGGAATGGAGCGCTTTGCTTTGACCTTGTGTGTCTAAGCAGCTTAAAATCCTGCACAGAGGAGAATTTAACTCATTAGGGCTCCAAGATCTGTTTTTCCCAGCCTCGGAGAATCGTTTCTTTTTCCCCCAGCTGAATGCTGGCAAGTGCTAAGGGAAGGCAAACCAGTAACAGGTCACGTCTGATATAAACTGGGAATTTATTCCCTCCTCTTAAGTGCTAGATCGTGCTTGGATTTACCGGGCTGCCAGGAATGCTGCATGTATCAAGGTTAATATCTGGCTTCTAGATGGAAAAACTCCTAGCTAAAAATAAATAAATAAATAAATAAAAATAATCACATGATATGCAACTATGTCCTAGCCATGGACTGGGATTAATTTAATGTCAAATTCCAAGCCAACAGACCAACAGTAAAACTAGGAAATCAGGGAGAGGAATGGATCTCCTCACTCTTGGTGTGATGCCTCTTGGTGCTCCACCAGCCTGCTCATGCCTGGCTGTCTGGACTACGATCTGCTCCCTCCGAGTACAAATAACAGTTCTAAGTTAAAAGCTGGGCTCTTCTCCTGGCATTAAAAATTCATATTTAGATGAAAATATCTCAGGGCTCAGGTATTACTAATTTATCACCTGGAGGGTGATATTCTGCTATACAGTGGTGGCATAGGGTCCCTGATTCCAGAAGAAATCCATAATGTAGATTGCTAATCCAGACACTCACACGGAATTGTTCTAATTCCAACAGTTCTAAAATAAAATTCCTGCCCCAGAGTTTAAGATGCTGTTGCATTGAAAGCAACCTCCCTTCACATGATGGGGAAAGCTGATACTAAATCAGCTTCTTTTAGGGCCTTTTTGGTAAGGATGTCATGATGCCCTTGATGAAAAATGTTTGTTCTTTAGGACTCCGTCATTATTAATGGTGTGTGTTTTTAACGAGATGCTCGAGATAATTCTAATCCTGGATGGAATCAGGGCTTTTCCCTGGGACTGACACATAAAAATCAAGCTGGGCAGGAGCACCATGAGAGAAAGTGTTCAGTTCCTTATCAAGAGGGCCAGCACTTAGCATTCAATGCACCCTGGTATTAACTGAGCTCACAAAAAAAGGAGCTCATAGGATCCTCACTGCTTTTCCCCCAGTTAACCACTGCACTGACAGAGCATTTCTGCATGAGGGACACACACTGCATATTCTATATTCTAATCTAGATATAATTAACTCAGCAAAAAGAGTGGTAAGTTCAGTGCAGAGGAGCAGAGGGAAGGGGAACGTGGTGAAGGAGCCCAGGAGTGCCCAAGTGCCGAGTCACGGAGCGTGTGTCACCTCCCAGACCAGACACCACTGGCCACCACCAGGACACTGCCTGGGAACCCAAACACCCAAACCCAGCCAGGGATTGTGCAGAAGGCAAGGACATACCAACACTAATGCTTGCTTCTGCAGGATTTAAAAGCCAACTTAGCCATGCCATGCCTTTGCCGTGACTGATGGGGAAACCAGTCAGGGAAACCTGTGAGCTTGCCAAAAATCCCTGCTAAAATGTAAGGATACCTCCACAGAGCTCTTGAGCTGTGATGTCTGAAGGCCATTCCTTATCTGAGCACAGGACAGGGAGAACTAGGGATGTATAGTCCCATAATTCATGCCCACTTGAAGAAATGACAGCAAATCTAGAATATCTAAGCCCATAAAAAATTCACGTGATTATCTGAACTAGCTATTAATAAAAAGCTCTTATATTCTACTTTATGACAGGCACGGTTTAAAGAACTGCTGAAAATTTGTCTGAGATATTAAAAAACATGTAAGCAACAAATCTATTTTATAGCTCAGTACTCCCCTGTATTTTAACTAATCAGTTTGCAAATTAAATAGGCTTTCTGAAAATGAAATCATGAGCATATTTTAAGGAAAAATAATCTCAGAGTGCTAAATTCAGTGGGAGCTCCACATTCAGCCTCCTGAAAACTAGTGCTTGCTTAGAAAATTCTGAATAACCTCTGAACACACACAGGTACGACTCCCTGGGTATTGACACTCGATTTTAAATTATTATTGACCACACAGAAATTTGCTCAGAGCATTCTCTTATTGTAGCGGCACATCCCCATCTGAAGGCTGTTTACTCCAATTTTACTACATTCAGGCAGAAAAGTGATCCCTTAATACTCCTGAAGCAGTTCACCCTGTTCATGCTTTTGCATGAAATACTGCTGAAAACTGCTTCCCTTTAAGTATCCCAGCCCAAGTCTCCCAGGCGAAGAGAACTGCATGTAAAAATAACAATTCAGTGATCAATCAGCAACATTTGGTGTCCTCTTTGCGTTTTCCTCCCCCTTTAGTGGCACAAGACACCAAGCCTGATTTTACTCCAGTTTATCCAGCTAAATCCACTGGGTTTGATACAGAGCAGTGTAGAGAAGTAAGGGCCATTTTCAAAGTCTGAATTAAACAGACTGAAGACCTTCAAGTCTTGCTATGTTTAGGTGCAGATCCAAACTTCTAAATCATAACAACAGATTTTTGTCCTGGCAGGGAAGTGCTGTAGCACTACCGTGTCCCTCTCCCCAGAGCTGCTGATTTCTGGTCTCAGACTCAGCCCATATCAAAAATAGTTATTAAGCATCTCAAAAACCCCAGCTTTAACTCGTGTTTGTGACATCCATGGGCAGGAAAAGCAGGTTGCTGCTGTTATTTTTGCCTGCCCATGATTGCTGGAGCAAGCCTATAAATAAAGCCCACGTAGTTACCGAATTAAACCAGTTTAAAAACAAAAGCACAGGAAGCTCTTTCCATCTGGTCTGAGCGAGCAGGAATTGTCACAAGCTCACCAAAAAAAAGGAGTTACTTGTTTTGTGCTCTTGCCCACCTTCCCTGCTTGTTTTACAGCTGCCCTTTTCTCCTCTTCCATTTTTTTTCCCCCAATTCTCATGTCAAGATTGTGATCCCATTGCAAATGACTTTTTAAAAACTGGAACAGGGGCTTTCTGATGCCCAAGACAAACCTATTTAAGCAGGTGTGTGAATTCAGGACTGTATTTTAAAAGTCCATAACACAAGTAGTTTTGGTCTGGTTGGTTACTTTCTGGGAGAAGGAAGAAGAGGGAATTCAGTAAAAACCTTAATTTTGGTGTATTTATCTATGAATAAGCACAAAATCTACAACAAGCCCGAAGTCTCCTTCCAACCATTAGTGATTTGTTGTTCCTACCCATTTTGTTATTATATTCATTATTCTCTCTTGCAAATAGAGAAGAGAAATGAATGAGGAGATATCCACGAGTACAGAAATTTAACTTGTGGATCAGCTGAATACATTTCTGTGTATCAAGGCCATCGGCAAATAAAACACAGCGATATCTCTACGGAGCTGACAAAGAGACAGATAAAACATCCCACTGCTGGAGAGAGTAATTCAGCAGAAATTATGCTTGAACTGCCTGCTCACAGTGATAACACTGATCCCTTCTGGAGACTGAGCCTAAACTGCTGAATTCCAGAGGAATCCGTGTGTTTTTGATGAGCAAGTTGGTGAGAAGAACGTGGTACATTCCTGAATTAACAATTTGTAATAAAAGCACTCAAAGCCACAAGAAATCTGGTGGCCAGCTATGGTGCCTTCCCCAGCCAAAAAATATCCTTGAGAGGGTCTTTAATTATTACTTTAATAAACTTCTTAATCATCCCTATCACAAACAACCCATCCCAAAGTCCAGAATCACACAGTGCTTTGGGTTGGAAGGGCATTAAGGATCATCTCATTCCAACCCCTGCAATGGGCAGGGACACCAGATTTATTCTGAAATCCTATTCCACATTATGCCAGGTCCACAACACCTGGGAGCAATGTACTCACCAGCTCCACACTGTATTTGCTTCCCTCTTCATTCCCCACGTAGCTCTTCCCACATGGCACCAAAACTGTGTCCCCTGCAATGAGCAATTTCCATCAGCCCTCTCCCAGAGTCCTGCTGTTTGATGAGAACCTGGGATTTGGGGAGTTTAAGAGAACTTCCCCTCACACAAGACTTTGGCTCTTCCTTCCCAGGATTCCAAAAGCACCTT